CATTCCACCTGCCCTTCGTGGTAACCTAGTGCATATCGCAGAACAACGATAAGTACGAAGCCGGAGACTACAAAAACTTCCTGTAGGTCATATTTTGTTGGCGCTCATTTTCGTAAGTAGCGAAATTTCCTTATTTTCACGAAGTTTCGTTTCGTCATCGAATGTATGTATTAAAAGAGTTACGGGAAGAGTCCACGAAGCGTCTGTTAGCCATTTAGAAATCCTATTTCTAAAACATTGGCTGTTTGCTGATGAAACCAGAAGATTATCGTTGCACAATAATCTATTCATTCATCTGAGAAAAACCAATACCTTCGCGGTATCGCGCTCTATTTAAACATAAGAAGCCACTTTCTGAGGTTTAAAAGGCACCATCGCAGATTATCATATTCTGCTCCTTCCACAGAATTCATCAGTAAGTGACTGGCATAGTAATTTCCCGACAGTGGGAAGGCAAACAGTAAGGACATTTATCGTGTTGCTGCTGCTTCTCAGTCATACTAAGCGCTATATTCAGGAAATACCGCGTATTTAATAGGATCGCGAACACACAAAATGGATTTTAGAAGGGTAGTAATTTGGCTTGGTGCTCTCCGCTCCCAATGTTTGAGAAGTTTTGCTAACTGAGCCGGCAGTTTGGCTCCGAGGGTGCGCTGCAGCGTTTCACTGTTTGAATAAGGCAAAGATCAGGAGACTAGCAGAATTTATTGACGTCATACAATTTCCCGCCCCCTTGTTCAACTGCAAACGGTCAGTCATAAGATAAATTAACAGTTCAATTAATTATCGGCCTAGAAGGGTGAAAATTGATGGGAAAGTAGAGTACGAGCTATAAGTCTTAGATGTGGGCGCATGGTGAGGTGGTAGAGTTGGGAGGTGTTTATCACAGCAAGGCAGTTCGTGTTACAATGACCGCCTTTCAAAGGGGGGGGGGAGACAAAGGACAGAGCAGCGGTCGGTCATAAGGGGGAGAGAGGAAGCATAAGAGGGAATGGGTTTATCGATCGTTACCACGACAATGCGAAGTTTTTCACATGAGCCAGCTGCTTACGGAGTTCTAGTTTTCTTCTAAGTATTGCAGCGGCCTCCTCAAATCGTAGGAGACGCCCGCTCTTCGCCCGAAGTACGACTTTAAATGCAGTCCTTTGGTCGACCGTATGGCCAGTTTCCACTAGGTGCTTCGTGGTTGAACTCTTGGGTATTTTATTTTCCACCCTGAGCAACCACTTCGACATATGTTTCACTATTTACTGCCACGACTTCGGCCATCCAGTCTCTATCAAATATGTGAGTGCTGGCATGATCACGCCACATTTTTCTACCCACATGGACTAATCCGATGTCTCCTTTCATTTTTTGAGCACGCCTTCTCTTAAACAGTATCTGCACCGCTATTCTTTCGCCTAACCAAGTTGCCCCAAGGTCTGCTCTACTTAGAATCGGAAACAATCTCTCTCCAGCAGTCTCGTGTGGCCTTCAATTCTCAAGGGTCCGTCAAAGAGCTTCCGTCCTCTTCCTCTTCTGCCGGCATCGCGTCATCTGGCAGACGCAATTTTGCTCTGCTCTAAGGTGGAGCGAGGTAGACCACCGAGCAACGCCGAGGGGAGATCTGCCCGACACCGGGGAACACGGAGTGCGTGCACTCAAGCACTATGCAAATCGCGTCGTTAAGTAAGCGCCGCCGTGTCGACATGCGTCCGAAAAGTAGACAAAACAAAGTCGTCCGGGTTATGCATTGATCACTACTTCACCGTAAAATATAGAGAAAAAACGAAGATGTTCAAAGTCTAACTGCTGGATGCTCAATTTTGCTGACAGAATGTGTGTGCAGGCTAATGGACGACTTGTAGACAGCCTTCGTAATTACGTCGGGTAAGTACTATAAGTCAGAAGTAAGACAAATTCATCAGCAGTATTATAAAATCATGTTGGTGTGGAAATCTCGCAGCTAGTATAAGTACAATTTACAATAAAGGAGTATGACAACCAACGACAATGCCTGGTTGAATGTCTGGAGGGTAGTACATCATTCTCAGGCAGTCGCGTAAAAAGAAAAATAACCAGTAATCACGAACCGTCCCCGAGAGAGAGAGGACATAAAATTCGCCATCATCAACTAACCAGTCACATTCTACGGAGTGCAAAGATGATAGTCTAGGTCAAATGATCATACAAAATTTCAAAATAAGTATTATAACATGAGCAGCAAACACATCGGTGGTATGGATCGCCGAGGACGGTAGAGGAGGCAAAAAGTAGCCATTGTAGGCTTTCAGTTGCATTTCCGGACAAATTATTTCATAGAAGAAAAGCCGGCCTTAGAGGAAATTTTGGTGATTTCGTCTCCAGCAAACGAACGTTTTACCACTTACCCAGGCAACAGTTCTACACAATTATATGTGTTCCTTCGTACGACGCTCAGTAGAACTATCGTTCTAGTATGTCAGCTTAGCTTTCGGAGTGGGAGAAGAAAACGGTCCCGGACTGAGTGATACAATACGGACGCTCCTGCAAGATAATTTTCTATGTTTCCGTCCCCTACACGCGACTGCCTCCTCTCAACCGTCACTCTGTTTCGCGAAAAAATGTTTCGTTAGCAGTGGCTAGTCCACCGCCCCCCTCCCCACTCCTGGGGTTATTGCAAGTTAAAGACCTGGCCTGGCAAGTCATTTATTTTTGTGAAGGCTGGTAGTGTTTCACGCAATCCCCAAATTAATGAAACATGACCAAGAACACTCTGTGCTTGGGCATTACGCTGTTGGTTTTTTGGGTGTTCAGATTGTTGCACGCAGCGTCGTGCTCAGCCTTTGGCGTTTTTTTCCAGATATTTATCTCAGCAGGTTCCAGAGGAAATCTCAGGTATATACAAAAAGTCAATAATTTCGCCATGCCCCCGCATTTGGCCAAAAGTACACCATTGTGCTCTGGGACCGAAAAGCCAGGAGGTTAGGAGTTGTTGGCATTAATTAACGCAGTAATACGTAGCTCTGAAGGAGAAGACGAAGCCAGAATTAAGATTTAATGGATGACCTTGTCCCACACTGAACAGTCCTCAGCGTGGAAGTCACCGATCGCAGACTAGCGAGGAGTCACTGCAATCTCACAATAAGTTCTACGTAGCAGAGAATTATTCCCGCACGTAGCAGACTACCTAGCCACGTTAAGGATTCTAGTTAAGAAAGTAAGCGCTCTGTCCAAACTGGGTCAGCCTCGTTCTCACTTCTTTGGCCCACACAAGCAGAATGTTGGAGCCAGTTGGACTGTACGTGAGATTTCGCGCAGTATCTCATGCGGGACAAGTCAACATGTATCAGGCGGAAGAGCAGTCACATAACCCTCAGAGCCTGTCTTCCTGAAGATTCTGTCAGGCAACTGATGCGTATCCGAGCGTGACTCTAGCCGTCAATGCGTGCTTACTGCATGCCGTGGTCACATGACTTCGCTTAAGGTCGCCCTATTTTGGAGTGCACAAGTGGGACCGCGCCCTCTAACATGTAGCAAATGGCAATTTAGACAATTTATAGACTTTGTTTAAGATATACAGCCAGCGATTAATTCCATAACATGTTAATCGAAATCCCAGAATGCATTTGATTGGATAGGATTCTGGACGTGGCATTCTATAGGAGTGATTATCGATTACCGCAAAGATATTTCACTGACGCTTTAAACTGCGCTTCTTTTCAT